GAGAATGTCCCCTGCCTAACACCTTGGAGAGCTACTTGCCAAGTCAGTGTGGACCATATTGAGCTAGGATGGACCGGTGATCTGACTTCCACCTAAGACATCTTCCTATGTTCTACATTCCAATGCAGTTATACCTCTCGAATACCAAGATACTTTGGGAAGAAACTATCCCCTTCCTACTCTGCTTGAGATGTCCTAGAAAGGCACCTCGCTTTGCCACCACGGGAAACAGAATCCCGGTGGATTCCCAATCTCGGTTCCCCTTTCAGGAGTCCTGCATCCTAGCTCCCATCAGCCTCTGTCAGTGTGGCCACCAGTGAGGAACGATGGGAGCTGCAGACCCAAAAGATCTGCAGGGTAGCGGAAATGCTGGACAAGTGAGCTCCTGGTCTTAGCCGGCAATGCAACAGCATATCTGCCAGGACTAAGGAAGGTATATTTGGCCCAAAAGGGCAATCTTCCAGGCCAGGGGCCACATGCCAGGGTGGGCAGAGGCAAAAGCAGGCCAGACAACACGTGCAATGCTTACATTTTAGCCATGCAAAAAGCTGCAAGTTTCTTCGTACCCTATCTCTCCGTCCAGGCAAGCACAGAGGCCGTTAGCAGAGTCCCTGCCAAGCAAAAGCACTTTGGAAGGGCATGAAGCAGGGCACAGGGAGAGTCCTGGGGGGCAGATCAAGAGGCGTGGAGGGCCACATTTGGCCCATGGGCTGGATTGAGAGGAAGGACTGCTTTTGGGGGCCTGTTATACCAGGGAGAGGAGTCGTTTTCAAGGTTCACGCAGCCAGGGCAGGTCAGGGCCCCGCTGCAGCTCTGCAAAAAGGGAAGACATTAGCAGCGCCGTGGTTCGTACTCACAGGCTGGCCTCGGAAGCCCGGTGGCCGCAGCTGCCCGAGGAGACGTGAAGATGGTGCTCCAGGCTGGCGGGCGGCAGACAGTCCCCCGCTGGTGCAGGCAGGTACGAGCACCAGTGCCCAGGGCTGGCCTGAGGGTTTCACAGGCCTTCGCCAGCTCCTACCCAACTGTTGTTAAAACAAGCTAGGGCCCCATGTGGGACTGCTCTGCTTTTGAGGCCCCCTCTGTCTCGCCTTGCTGAAATAAAGAGAAATAAGTAAGATGTTTTGTTTCCCCCCCACGCAGAAATGGCAGGTTCGCCGATGGGAAGGGATGCACTGGCAAACACTGCCCAACCCCTGGAGAGAGAACCAAGCTGAGCTTTTGAGCTGCGGCTGGTCCTGAAAGCCCCACATAGCTCAATGGAACCCCCAAGTCCAGAGGCCTCTCAAGCCCTGGGGAGCAGCAAATCGCGGAGGGAAATGCCAGTCGGGACCACTCAGTACGGGCTATTTGCACCACCTTTCTCTAGTTTTGCAACTGAGTTGTTTTGACTGCAGGAAAAGACTTGATTCAAAATAGCGCTTGTGTGTATAGAACTGATGAAGAAAAAATGAATGGCGAAGGAGCCCACAGTGTTGGGTAGTGCCAATTTGAAAGGCAATGTGGTGTAGTGGTTAGAGGTCTGAGTGATGGACTACGACCTGGGACAGAGCAGGGTTCAAATTCCTCCACTCAGCCATGAAGCTCAACTTGGGGTCCTGTCACTGTCTCTCAGCCCAAGTTACCTCACAGGGTTGTGGGGTAAAGGCAAATAATTTTTTTTGTGGGGGAGGGAGAACCGTGTATGCCAGTTCAAGCTGCTTAGAGAAACAGTGAGATATAAACGCAATACAGTGGTACCTTGGGTTACATATGCTTCAGGTTACAGACTCCGCTAACCCGGAAATATTACCTCGGGTTAAGAACTTTGCTTCAGGATGAGAACAAAAATTGTGCAGCAACGGCAGTGGAGGCCCCATTAGCTAAAGTGGTGCTTCAGGTTAAGAACAGTTTCAGGTTAAGAACGGACCTCCGGAACGAATTAAGTATGTAACCAGAGGTACCACTGTATATAAATAAAACTTGGAGCTGGCACCTGGAATGGCAGGGCATCAGAAAAAATTATTGCTCAAAAATTTAAAAGAAGCACAAGATTGGAGAGCAACTGGAGAGGAAAAGCGGAGTGGGGGTGGCGCTTCTAAAAGGATTAAGTAACAAATTAAGCTCTCCTGTCACCTCTCTTGTAAAAGGGAGCCAATCCCTAGAGATTGAGCCTTGGCCTGGAACTACAAATGCTGCCAAACTTAGCTGTGGACGGCAGCCCTGGGCTGTATCCAACCAAATCCTACTTAGAAGGATTTCAATGAACCTAGGGCAGGAATGTCCATTCATTTCAGCGTGTCTACTCTGAGTAGGACTATCACTGGCTCTCCCACGTTCCAGCGTGCTATATCATGTGTATTCATCAGGCTGTCAGTCTCAGAGCCCCCCCCCCCCGCAATACAATGTCAGAATAGGGTAACCAAAAGCATCAAAGGGAGATGGAGCGACTCCCCCATGAAGAAATGCTGTAGCACTTGGGACTTTTTAGGTTACAGAAAAGGCGAGTGAGTGGCAGCACGATATTGTATTTCAGTGTTCTGTTGGAAGCTGCCCAGAGTGGCTGGGTAAACCCAGTCACATGGGCGGGGAATTAATAATAATAATAATAATAATAATAATAATAATACACGTTTATAAAATTAAATGTGGCATGGAGAGAGTGGATAGGGATTGGCCTGATCTGGCTGGCTCTTCTTAAGTTTGGATAATGCCAAAGCTGGCGCAACAGAGAATGTGCGTCCTCAAAACATGTCAGAATTTTTTCTGCAACAAACAGGTGCTGCAGTTGCACACAAATCTAGCCAACAGGTGCCCCAACAGGAAACCTGGAAGCAGGACCCAAGGACAAGAGCGCTCTTCCCTCCTGTATTCCGTGAACCTGCTCGATCAGGCCAATGGCCCATCTAGTCCAGCATCCTGTTCTTACAGGTGGCCCATTGGGAAGCTGGACATGAGTGAAACAGCACTCTGTCCCTCTGTGATTTCTAGAAACTGGTATTCAGAGGCATGCTGCCTCCAACTATGAATGCACAGCTTAGCCTTTCTGGCTAATAGGGTTGTTACTAATGAAATTGAACCCTAAACATTCAAGCAGGGGGGGAAACACACACAGGGCTACAGTCCCAAGCTAGTGAAGCCCAGATTCTGGACTCTGCTTCTGGATCACTTGCACTGCATCAGGCATTCAAATAGCCACTGGCCTGGTAAAAATCAGCTCCATTTGGAGGAAACTTACAAAAACTGTTTTCTACTATCTCCTTTCCTTTCTTCTTAAAATTATATTGAATATACAACTCAAAGAGAGAATAAGCATAATGCAAACACAAGAAAATCTACCATTCGAGATCTGAAGTTGCATGAATCTATTTTCACCAATTCGATGAACAGTTTGTCAAGGTTATGGAAACTGCCGAATCGTAAACCCTGCAAAATAAATTATTTCTAAGGGTAGAAAGCTTTTCCCTCTCTTCCAGCAAAAGCAAAGCTTTACTTTACCAGCGCCATATCATCCTAGTCCACAAGGAGCCCCCTAGAACCTAATGCAACATCTGGAATGTTCAACCAGCTAGCAGGTCTTTTCCTTCTAGCTACAAATCACTGAGATAGATAGGTCTGGGCACGTGTGTGAGTAATTTTTAAGGTCTCAAACTGCACAGCTGCCTTCGGTTCCAGATGTTGGCACAGATCCAACCTGCCTGTAATAACGTCTCCATCCATCAGCATCTTCCTATTCTTTGAGATCTGCTGGTGTCCCCGCTTTGCATGATTTAAAACCAGGTGGGGTTCAAGCAGAGCTCTCTTGGTGGTGGCACCACAGCTGCGGAACCGGCATCCCAGGGAGGCCACACACAGCTTCCACCACACCTGAGGCTGCACCTTTGTAACTCCCTCCCAGTAGAGCTGTGCTGGGAGGCAACTCTCCAAGCTTTATGGAAGCTCCTTCATTGGCTTTCCCCTGAATGATATTCTGTCCCACTGACTGGATGAAGGCTGGAATATGGTGGTGCTATCTGTGTTCTGAGTCTGTTCTTATTTTCCTTCTGTTTTATTCTTAGGATTCCTTCCTGGTTTCAGTCACGCTAATTTTTCTTTTTACTTGTCTTTATTGAGATGAGATGCTTCAGGTGGTCTTCCCCCAGAGAAGGAACATATATTTAAAAATAAATAAATGCAAATAAATAAAGCAAGCATTCTAAGCTGCGCTGGGCTTTAAATTTTAGCGCACACACCTTGAGTTTGGTGGCATATTGGCAGCCAGGTGGAACTCCTTTAGAACTGGTGTGACACGTCCCTGGCAAGCCGGCCTGCTTAACAACCTATCTGCCGATTTTTGCCCTGGCTGCAGCTTCCGAGCCAAGCAGACAGCATTGCAAAAGTCCAACCTTGCAGTTCCCAGCGAACTGATCAAGTAGTTAAACAATGGCATTTGCTGCCTGAGCTTCGTCACCAATTTAGGCGGCTTCAAAGGCGTGGAGGTAGGTTTTAGAGAAATTAAGGGAGGGGGGGAAAGGCTGTCAATGGCTATTGTCCATGGTGACTGTAAACTTCCAGCAGGAGCAGTCCACCAGAATTAGGCAGAATTACTCTGAAAGGCCCACAAACCACTTCAGTTTACCCTGCTGAGGAACAGGTGGGCGAGCCTGGCGTAAAAATAGCTGCTGAGGCACTAGGTGGCAAAATGTATGTTTGCAGGGAATGCCAAAAGGCAGCCTATGGGTTGTTCCCTAGAGACTTCCTGTGCTCTCTCCTGAACCCTTCCAGTGACTTGGGCTTGATAGGGAAGCCCATCAGTCGGTTGCTAAGCAACCACTCCGTCTGTTAACTCACCCTAGGCCGAAGATGAGGAACCTGAAGCACTCCAGATCCCATCACCTCTAGCCATTGGTCCTGCCCTCTGGGGCTGATGGCAGCTGGAGGCCTACCACATCTGGAAGAAGCCCTCACAGGCTCCCCACCTCTGTGTCAGGCCGCTGAGGTGGCTGCCTCAGGCAAATCGGCTGGGATGTCAAATAGTCAGCCCTTTGATTAATTAATTGCTGCCAGAGACAGGATTTCTGGGATTTTTCTGCCAGGTGTCTAAATAAACTCAATCTGCTCTGGGTACAAAGCACTTTGGGTGATGCCATAACTCAGAGTAGGCCCACTGCAATCGGGGAACTTTAGGTCACATCCACACCATTCCTTTAAAGCATGAGGATGCCACTTTGACCAATTCCTGGAGTTCCCTGGGAAGGTCTGTTAAACCACAACCACGAAATAACTTGCAACCATAAAACTAAGATGGGTCCTAAAAATATTTGGTTTGCTTGAACAATGACTTATGGTCATTACAGAAGAGATGTGAAAGGCCCTCTCTCTTTTCCTTCCTACTATATGGCACCCCAAATATCCTCATGTCACCCCATCTATTTCTTCATCCTTCCAATTAAATGTCACTTTGCTGCATGATGCGCTGAAGAGGCCAACTTCTTTTCATTCCAAGCCTTGAAATGAACCCTGAAAAACAGCTTGCCTCTTCAGCACGTGCCAGGAAAATCGCAATAGGACCCATGCTTTCTAGGAAGGCCTTAGAGCCTACCAGAAACTGCACAGTGGGCCACTTTTAGCCCCAAACCCAACATTTTAAGAGAAACTACCCATTAGCAGGGAAACAACAGGGTTCCCAAACTTATATCTCCCCCCCCCAAAAAAAATTAATGCATGGGTAGGCAAGATTTACTGAATGGGAGATGGGTGCTTAACTCAGATGTTGAGAAAGTTGATGCGAGTCTTAAATCTGCTTTTAGTCTTGTTATTTCAACTTTTTGAATATCTTCAATTATTGCTATCAGGTTTTTTTAAAGGAATAATTTTATTCTTTCATCTTTTCTGTTAACTGCTTTGAGGTTTTTCTAAAAAAAAATTGAGTAGCTGAATATCAAATACTAGAGACTAGCAACATTTAACTATTCTTCCCTGGTCTGTATGATTTATGCCGGAATAACTTGCAGCTAACTAAATGTTTGAGCTGGAAATATGACCCTGCAATTATTATTATTATTCGATTATTGTTTTGTTTATTGTTATTGTTTATTAATTTATTGTTTGTTTATTATTTATTAATTGAATTGAGTTGATTATTTATTTATTAAATTGAGTTGCCAAAGGCAACTCAAAGCAACTTCCAACCAAATAAACAAACAAAACCCCACAGATACATTAAAACCAAAACAAATAAAAAACAAATCAATTAAACTAATACATTAAAATACATTTAAAAACATTCTCCCACACTCTAAAAGGCCAGGGAAGACCGAAGGCCTGGCTAAAGAGGAAAGTTTTTGCCTGATGCCTAAAGATATGTAACAAGAGCCTCCCCAGGGAGAGTATTCCTCAAATGAGGAGCCACCACTGAAAAGGCCCCTTCTCGTGTTGCCACTCCCCCGATCTCCCATGGAAGAGCCACACAAAAGAGGGTTCAAGACCTGGTTTGGTTCATATGGAAAGAGGCTGTCCTTAAGCTTCTTAACTGCTCCCAATCCTGCTCCTTAATTCTACAACTGAGAATTAGCTGCTTTTGAATCTGTACACCAGGGATGGGGAGCCTGCATGTGCCTCCCTGGACTCCCAACTCCAATCAGTCCCAGCCAGCAATGGCCAGTGAGCCGCAGAAGAGGCAGCCTACAGCAAGCCAACATCTGAGCCTCAGCCCCAACCGCAATACAGAGAGGATAATACCAGCCAGCCTTACAGGGCATTCATGTACCTAAAACTCCAGTATGCTGCAAACCCTTCTAAGCATCATCATCACATTATTATCTCTATATATTGGGAGAGGGGCTCAAGCTTCAAACTTCATGAAAAGCAACAAAGTGGTTCGTTTTGAAACCAGCCCATAGCTATGCTCCCAAGGAGAGTGTATCAACACAGACAGCTGTGTGGACCTGCGACATAGAATATTAGATGGGCGACAGGTGAGCCTGTTGGAATTTGGCTGCAGCAAGGTGGGCAAACAGATGTGGACCTGGGATCACAACCTTGATCAGCCAGGCAGCACAACTGCAATGCTACACAGAGTTACCCGAGAAACTTCCGTGAACTCAGAGGAGCTCACTTCTGACCACATTGCTCTAACTTGTAGGAGGACACATTTGAGCACAAGCCCACCGGAAGTTGGAACTGCATCGCTGGAAGGAACCACAAAGGTCATCTAGGCCAAACTCCTGCAATGCAGGAATCACAGCTGAAGAATCCCTGACTGAAGGTCACCCAACTTTGGCTTAAGAACTTCAAATGAAAGTGAGTCCACCACTTTCCGAGGGAGTCTGTTCTGCTGTTGAACACACCAGAAAGTTCTTCCTCATGTTTAGTCAGAATCTCCTTTCTCGTCATTTGAATCCACTGGTTTGGTTCCCACCCTCTGGAGCAGCAGAAAACAATACTGCTCCATTTTCGATGTGACAGCCCTTCAGAGATTTGAAGATGACCATCATATCACCTGTCGGTCTTCTCCAGGCTAAATATGCATTCTTTAACGTCTAAACAGAAATGCAAACCATCTCCCAAGGTCTTGCCATTTAAACTGAGACCATGAATTAGGAGCACAGGAACCGGCGTATATACGGAGCCAGACAACTGGTTCACTTGGCTTAGTGTCTACACCAATTTCCAGTCGCTCTCCAGGATTTGAGGCAGGCGACAATCACAGCCCAACTTAGGGACACCATTTGGGGACTGAACCCAGGGGCTTTTGCATAAAAAGCAGATGCTCTACCTTTTGAGTATCTCCTCCATTATTTTCCTTATTCTTCTACCCGCTCTACACCAGCCTCCTCCAATCTGCTGCCCACCATATATTGTTGAACTCTTGCCACCACCAGCCAGCATGGCCAAATGGTCAGGGATGACAGGCACTGTGGCCCCAGATTTTTCAAAGGCTGGCACAGACTGGTCTATACTAATCGGTAGTAAAACTTGAAAGCCTCATTATCATCTCATCTATCTGCCAGAACCAGGAGGGTTCATCTGTTAACCCTGGCACTCCAGCAGACATCAGCGCTTTGAGGGGAAAAAAGCCCAGAGCTAAGTTCTTCCCACTATTCCTGCTCCACTAAATATATGATCAAAGGGAGATCATCCGCTGATCCACCTTGTATGAGCAGCAAGGGAACCATGCAACTGTCACATGCAGCTTTAGAAACTCAAGATATAGTGAATAATCGCCAAAAGGCATCTTAAACCTAGGTTACGGTCATCACAACAGAATGTCCAGGCACCATTTTTCTCCACTGATGTTTGCGGTTGTTGTTGTTGTTATAATTATTATTATTTTCATTTCTATATTGCTTTATATTTTAACGAACAACTCTCAAAAACACCTTCAAATCAAGCACTGCAGAGTAAAACAAATCCAAGCTTCAAGGAAAACATTCCAGATCCTTCTCTAAGTGAGCTTTTGCTTTCCTCAGTCGCCAACCTGCCCCCCCCCGAGAGCTCTACATGGTCGCAAGTGGACCTGCGCCTGAGGCAAAACGCACCTGGCTAATTTCGAACACTGGTTGCTCCCCCCCCAACCAAGATCCCCAGCGAGGTTCTGGTCAGCCAAGATGTGGGCGAAGGGCCCTAAACCATGACCACCACCCCTCCTCCAGAGGGTGAAATGGCTGCTAGCCACAACAGCTATCTTCATGGCTGGAGGCAGTAATGCTTCTGACTACCAGTTGCTGGAAGACACAGGAGGGGAGAGTGCGCTTGTGCATGGGACCTGCTTGTGGGTTTCTGCACCTGAGTGGCCACTGTTTGAAGTGGATGTTGGACTAGATGGGCCACTGGCCTGATCCACTAGAGCTCTCCGCATGTTCTTATGTTTAAATGAAAGGAACAAACGTCTCCGGCTGGCCCACATGCGCTCGGTCAACAACAACCGTCCTGTACAAGAATGATGCCGGAGCTGTTTCCTCAACTGGGAGCAAGAACCTCTTGCTCTCATGCGCAACCCAGTCACCCTTTCCCACAAGCCTGTCTCCCGTGAGTTCGGTTTAACGGCCGTATTCGGCGTGGCAATGCGCTGCCGTTTACTCCATTTGCCCTCATCGACTGGCGGTTTTAGTTCACATCATCAACCATCCTAAGCATCTCCCACCAGGAAGGGGAACGCACAAGAAGCATTTCCCTCAAAATAAGTTGCTTTGCCAAGGCCTCTCTGCTGGAGGAGGGGAACCAAGTGCCCTTTCCCACAGAATCTTCCAGCAAGAGGCAAGACAAAAGGCTCCAGCGAAGCCTTGGTTGATGGTCACTCTGTGGAGGGGAGGGGGTGTGTTTGGCCCCATGGACCATTTTTGTGAGGGAAAAGAGGATGGGCTTCTCCATGTGGGAGCCCATCTGGGTCAAGTTGGGAACAAGAAAAATAACAGCAAGCACACAGCATGCAAACCAAACATTTCTTGGCTTTTCTACCAGTGTTATACCGGTAAATGGTGGAAAAGTTAAGCGTTGCACTGAACATCAGGTCCTTCATTCATTTCCCCACAAATATATCCACGACCAGGATTAGGCCCAATTTGTTCACGAACGCATCGTTTCATACATAAGGCCCTCATTCTTCCCGCACCCCAAAACCAGTTTTTCTAAGAATTACGAACCCAGGAGTCTACTTCTGTGCTTCTGCATGAGTCACTGTTGGGATGCGACTCCTCACTGGAAGCCTGAGGTGGTTACCAATGCAGAGATGCAACAGCCAGCCTCCTTTAGAGTGTTGGTGATTTTGGTTTCCAGTCTACACTGGGAATGATCCCCTCACACCAAATTATGAGACTTTGTAGAGTTGCCCATCCCCAGGAAGCAAGGCCTGAGTTGTAAATAATGCAGAGACACAACGAGCAACCTCCTCCCTGGAGATTCTCATTCTTAGCAGCACATTACCGGTTCTCCTGCAGTAGACACTTTGGGAATTACTGGGGTATTCTTTTGGCTTCTCCCCATAATCACATAACTTTAAGCATCAGGTCTGTATTTGTTCATGAATACGTGGTCTGAAACCACAGCTCCTAAACATGAAGGAGGGCCCAGTTCTCAGAGATGGAGCTCCCTTCCCCAAAATACAACAGCAACATGAACACAGCCAAATGAACACAGAACAGGAAATACCAAGCCAATTCCTCTTGGGGTAAGGAGTCCAGTATTATCGAGAAGAGCTCTGTGTGACCCGAAAGCTTGCAAACTCATACAGCAACGTTAGTCGACCTTGCTTGAGGAAGAGCCAAAACCACATCATCTCTATCACCGAGTCTTACCTGACCTTCTAAGTTCCTATTCTCTGCCACCGACAAAAGCAACCAATGTCTTAAGATGCCAAATGGATCAACTACATGCACACACCAGGGCTGTCTGAACCCCTCTCTCAGCAATGTCCAGTCCAGGATGGCCCAAAAACTTGTGTGCCGCCTCTCAAGAATGTCTCCACCTCTTCTAAGGCCTCTCTGCCGGCCCGCTTCAAGAACAGCCACCCAATCCAACCTAACCCAAGCTGGCATTTGGGGGTGGGTGGGTCAAATTGTGGCATTTTGGGTAGAAAGTCTCCAAAAGGCAAACTGCAAAAATTATAACCGAACAAAAGGACGTGGAGTTATGCCTCACAGATCCATGCACAGTGCACCATTCCACTGGAGGAGCAATAAATAAAATTTTAAAAACCAGCACATTTCCCAACCACTGTAGCCACCTCCCCACTACCGTCCAAAAATAAATCCATGCTTGTCTTAGGACACATTACTTCTTCTTTTTTAAGTCCAATGGCAAATGAGCCCACACAAGATTCGGCCACCAAACATCTTAAAATTTAAGTCTAGACCAAACACCACATATACAGGGAGACAAATGCACATGGAGACATTAAATATAAATATACGCACATACATATAAAAGCTTATGTTTCTCTGAAACTGTACAGACCTTTCTCTACCGAACTGCAAAAGTGGGGTAGGGGGGTGGGGAGAGAGAGACAGGATCTCCAACATTTTTTTTTAAGCTGCAGATTCCACACCAGGAGAAAATACCACATTCCAATTCAAACAGCTAATTTCCAAACTATTCCTCAGCAAACGTGGCATTTGCAAAAGCTGTTTTAAGAAAGCGAGCACAATACCCCATTAAAAGAAAAGGCATGTAGAAAAAAGAAAAGAACCAACAAATTCAGTTACAACCCACCCCCCACTCCTTAAATATTCCAAAAGGGGAAAAAAGGAAAGAAAACTGTACAACTCCGAGTCACTTGGGAGAGAGGGGGTGTCCTTTTTTATGCAATATTTTCATAGCCAACTTTCGCATAAGTTAACTTCAGATCTAAAAAAAATAAACAAACAGCCATTTCTTTTTCCCCCTCTCCCCTTAAATAAAAGTGCAATCGACACGCAATTCACAGTGCAAGAAGCAAAAACAGTGCAACATCCCAGACTCACACACACAAAAGCAAAGCAAGATTGCAACAACGCCAACCCCCCTCCCCAAAAAGCATAAAACCCCAGAACAAAGCAAAACACCCCTTTTCAGGTGCCCCCGGTCCCCCCTGGGCTGCCTCTCCAACACTCTCAAGACAGTTTTTTTATTATTATTATTAAAATTTGCAGACAAAAGGGGAAACAAAAATGGCAGCCTCGCTTATTTTTAAAACAGAAACGGGGACGCCATATTCTGCAGATCTGCAAAAAAGGGAGAAATCGGAAGCTTCGCCTGGACTCCGAGAGGGGAAGAAGAGAGGAGGAAAAAAAAATAATTCAGGCAGCCGCAAAACTAGAAAGTCGGAGGGGGGAAAAACGGGAGGAAAAAAAATTAAGCTCGTTTTTGCCCTCGCCTTTATTTGCATTAAATCATTGTTGGCCGGAGGTCTTTTTGCACCAAAAGGGGTGTTTTGTTTTATTTATTTTTTTAACGTATTATTCTTAATAATCTTTCCCTCTTTTGAATAGCCCGGCTTTTATTTATTTAAAAAAAAAAGACACTTCCTATACCAATACACATGCTCCGCTTGCAAATTGCAACCCAAGCCAGAGATCCGTCTGCAAAGGAAGAAAATGGGCACCCCCGTTTCGCTTCCTCTTCCTCGCCTCCTCCTCCTCCTCCTCCTCCATCTCCACCCGCCCAACCTTTAGTTACGTCGGGGGGGGGCGGAATAAGGAGGAGGAGGAGACGACCGGGGAAAGGGGGGGGACACACACCGGGAAGACAGTGCCCCCCCCCGCACGATCTTCGGTGCAGACCTGCTGCAAATGCGCGCATCGAATTTGCAAACGCACCCTCTCCCCCCCACCCAATTCTTTCCCCCCCTTTGCAATCTTAGCCTGAAACTGACATGCATTTGCAGAAAGCCACGGAAGGAGAGGAAAAAAAGCATGCAGCGTTGCTACTGAGCTGCAACATTTGCAATCTAGCCCCTTCTCTCCCCCCCCCACTCCACAAGTTTAACCCCACCACCCTCCAACCTCGCCAATCCTTGCTTGGAGCTGGCCTGGGAGAGCGCGTCCGCCTCTCTGCCCTTTCCTCCATAATAACAGAACACTGTAATCGGAAGAATACACACCTTCGATTGCAGAGGTTTTGGCAAACGTGGGGCGCTTTTAATGCAAATAGACATGAGGCGAGAGTATAGATATCTAGAGATAAAGACGGGTAATAATAGAGCCACTCAAGTCTTATCAGGAGGGGGGCAAAAAGGAGTGGGTTTTTTTTTAACACTCCCCCCCCCTCAAAAAAAAAAAAAAGGACAACACTCCCTACCAGGGCGATCTTGGGAAGTTCAGTCTCTATAGCTTGGGTATTTTTTTTCCTCCCCCCCCCCTCCGCGCCGAGTGCTTATAAAGCTCAGTTCAAATCTTCCGGGTCGGCCTGGAGTTCACTTCTGGTTTTTGCAACAACCCAAGCCAGCCTGCCGGAGGGTTGCTTTCTATGAGGTCCGAGCGAGCAGCAGAAGGGTTTTTCCTCTTGCGACGGATTCTTCCTTCCGCCTCCAAAAATAAAGCAAGTTTTCTTTAAAAAAGCATTTTTAAAAAACAAACAAACAGAAAACCTCCCTATTCTTTTTGATCGTGTTATTTTCTTTTTCCCTTTTTCCTGCAATCTTTTTTTTTCTTTCTTCCTTGGTAGTTGTGTGCGAAAAGATTCACTTCTTGCGAGTTTCCAAAAGGGGCAGATCCAGGAGAGGCGAGGGAAATGGGGGAGGGAGTTTTGGAAAAGAAAACATTGGGGTGGGGTGCAGAGGGGGTTTGGTGGGTGGCGGAGGGGGGGTTTCTTGTGGGTTTGGCTGGCTGCAGAATGTGCCCAGACATTGATTGCTAGGCACAGAACAAGAGATGGGCTGGCTTACGAGCCTGTTCCCTCCACCCACTGATTTTTATTTTATTTAAAAAGCAGATTCCTAATCATCTCTCCCCCCCCAAACACAACCCCCAGCCCCAAAGTTGCCTTAGGCAACTTTGAATTTCCAATATAAATTCATAGGCACCTCCCTCGCAGGGGGAAAATAAAATAAAGGGTGTGCTGGTTACCGTAATTCAGGAAGGCCCGTGGCCCTGGAATCCCTCTTTATCTGGGAGCAAGCACCACCGCAAAATCAGAAGCACGGAACTCTAGAGTTGAAAGGTGTGCCCAGGGATCATCTAGTCCAACCCGCTGCAAATGCAGGAATCACACCTTTGAGTTGCTTTTGTTTCTAATAATATGCAAAGGCTACTGCTTGTCTAGCCAGGCTTCTACTCTGGATTTGGGGTAGATGGGAGGTAAATCCTGAACTCGGGACCAGGTCATGTGATGGGTGTCATCTGCAGCTCCACAGGGTGTCTGGCTCTGCTGTCCCCTAAAGAGCACTTTGCTCTGTAAGTGTGCCTACCCTGGATGCATGTTGTTTCGTCTCTAGATTAATATACCTCCTTGGATTCACAAGATCTCAGGGTGCTTCACAGGATTAAAAATACAAAGTAAAAAACCAGTAAATAGTTAAAGCAAAAGCAGAAACAGTAACCCCTGTCCCACAAACACATTTTTAAATAATGTAGAATATTTAATTGGCCTTACAAAAAAACACACAACAGAAATACAAAATATAAATTAACATATAACACTTAAGAACAATTTAAAACAACCTCAGCCTTCCCAAATAATTCAGTTTTTTTCTGCCAGATGTTCTTGCTGTCAGCTGAGACTTAAGAATAAAATTGCCAGGCTGTTAATTTTGGAAATAATATGTCTCCTCTTGCCACCCCCATGCTATGCCCCTGTTGGGAAGACCGTTCCATAGAGAGGGAGCCACCACTAACAAGGCCCTTTTGTTAAAACTCCAGCTGCCATCAGCCTCAGCCAGCATGGCCAATGGACAAGGATGATAGGAGATTTAGTCCAAGACTATCACTGGCTTCTATGAGTGGGATCCTCTCACCTCTCTGGGTCCAGAAGTGGAATTGGGTGGGGTGGGGGACACCCAATGAGGACTGGCCCATTTAATTATTAGGTGTAGTGGTTAGCGTGTTGGACTAGGACCTGGGAGACGAGGTTCAAGTCCCTACTCAGCAATGAAGTTCACCAGCTGACCCTGGGACAATCACTGCCTGTCAGCCTAACCTACTGCACAGGGTTGTTGAGTTCCTTGAGCTCCTTACATGAAAGACAGGACATAAGCAAGCAAGCAAATAATAAGAGAGCTCAATGAATGCCACCACCTTGAGCTGGCACCCAATTCATGCTCTACGTTCTCAACCAACCCTGCAAGATAGGCCAGCATTATCATCCCCATGTAGTTGACGAGAGATCAATGTCTTGCACAGGAGTGCCTTGCAGATGTCATTGGGCTCCAGCTCTCATCAGCCCCAGAGTTGACTAACCCTGGTTCTTACCTCAAGGCTTCCCTAATCAGTTTGGAGCTGGGCCGAGTTTTGAACCCAGGACTTAAGTTCTTAGCTGCTGCTGCTACCTCACCAAGGAAGACTGCTGCTTCATTTGCCCCACACGCAGAGGTGGAAGAGAAAACATCTCAGCACGTGCTTCTGCTCTGCCAGATGTGCTGCCCGTAATTACGCATCAGCGCACTCTATTTGTGCTGATAAATTGCCATATGACTACAGTAATGCACCATCAATTAATCCCAGGACAGGGAGTGAGAGAGAGTGACCAGACAAGCTTTACAAGCTCATCCCAGAGACCTCTGCCAAAAGAACAAGAAGGGACCAGGCTGGGAATGGGTGGTATCTCTCCGCCTGTCTCTCACCTAGGCTCAGAGTCAGACCAGTTGCAGGCGACAGCAGCCTCGCTGGATAGATCATTGGCTTCGTACCAATCAGCTCATTCTCCATAATGGAGAAACCCATGTTCAGGTTTGAAAACAATGTCTATCTCACTGTAGTCTCCATCTTATTACAGCTTCAGCTCACTCTAGCAGCAACCTCAGGTGATAAAGCAACAATAGGGCTGCTGCTAAAATGGACCCCCCTGAGAAACAAGAGGGAATGATTCACACACACAAGCAGCTCAATGAGCACTGGGCGTTCTCAGTACCCAGAGAGTGCTAGCTGTCAGCTGGAAAAGGAAAACACAATCGGAAGGCAGAACGGAACGGTATCCGGGAAATGGGCATGGCCAGCCGGCTGGCCGGCTCCCTGGAGTATTATTGTCAGGAGGTGAAAATATACTGCAGTACATCCACATCACATATTTATAGCAGCACCATGGCATTTTAATCAGTCGTGGCTTCCCCCAAAGAATTCTAGGAACTGTAGTTTTGTTAAGGGTGCTGAGAGTTGCTGGGAGAAATCTCATTTCCCTCCGAGAGCTACAATTCTCAGAGAGGTTTAACTAGGGTTGCCATATTTCAATAAGTAAGAACCAGGACACCCCAAAAATTGTGTCTGGGTGGGAATTCTAGCACTGTGAGGTGAATAAGGGTTTCCCAACAACTCT